TAACAATGAGAGCAGCACAGCTTCACAGCGTACAGGAGGGTTAATCCACAGCAGATCTCTGTGAGTTTGAGGCCAGCCTAGTCTACACAGTGAATTCCAGGACAGCTAGACCTATGTGGAGAGACCCTGTCAATAAACAAAAGCACAAAACAAAAATAAAAAGCATCTGTTGTCTCTCTTAGGGTTAGGCAAAGAAGAGTGCGTATTGGCTTGCCCCCCGACTTCAGGCTTAGAACGTCTTTCAGCCTCTTGCCTGTCTGCTTCTGGGGTACTAAGAGTCACTGAGCTACCTGGTGACACACCTATAATGTCAGCACTCTGGAGGCTGATACAGGAGTATCTCAATTTGTCAACACTGCCAACCTGACAGGAACCAAGATCCCCTAGGAGACAAGCCTCAAACTTAAGAGGAATTATCTAGCTTAGCCTCTGTGTGTTCCAAAGGATGGTCTAGCGTAGGCTCATTTTTTTATTAATTTTTTTATTTTAATTTTAAATAGCTTGTTTTACATGTCAATCCCAGTTCCCTCTCCCTCCCCTCCTCCCGCACTCCCCCATCCCCCCCAGCCTCCCACCCTATCACCACTTCCTTCCACATAGGGGATATCTAGAGTCTGTCATTTCACTCAGGGTAGGGTCCAGGCACTCCCCTAAGAGTCCAGGCTGAGAGAGCATCCCTCTCTGTGCTATGGGCACACGATGACTGTTTGTATTCCAGGGATAGACACTGATCCACTGCTCAGGGCCCCATAGGTTGCCCAGGCCTGCGTAGTTCATTTAAGTGGGAAGAAACACCCTGGGGCTGGAGAGATGGCTCAGTGGTTAAGAGCACTGATTGTTCTTCCGGAGGACCCAGGTTCAATTCCCAGCAACCACATGGTGGCTCACAACCACCTTGAATGAGATCTGGTGCCCTCAGCCTGGCATGCAGGCAGAAGATTGCATGCATAATAAATAAATAAAATATTAAAAAAAAAGAAACACCCTGAATGTGGATGGCACCGTCCCATGGGCTGGCACCCCCAACGGCAGGAACAGGAGGGTGGACATAGCTCTCTGCGTCTTGATTGTTTCTACAACGTGACTGTCACTTCCCGGCCATGATGGACTCTACTCTTGGTGTGAGTCAACATAAACCTCCTGGAAGTAGCTTCTTCCAGGTACTTTTCATACCAAGAGACAAACCAAAAAAGTGACACGCAAATTAAGAGTCCAGTCTGGCCAGGTGGTGGTGGCGCACACCTTTAATCCCAGCATTCTGGAGGCAGAGGCAGGTGGCACTCTGTGAGTTCGAGGCCAGCCTGGTCTACATAGAGGAATCCAGGATGGCCAGGGCTACATAGACCCTGAGAAAAAAAAGTAAAGAAGAAAAAAGAAGAAAGGCCAGCCTTGGCTCCACAAACCTCCCTCCTCCAAAAAAAACAAGCACAAATAAATCATAGGCTGGGTTTTCATGGGTTTGAATTGAGTCAAGCAACCATTCCTGAACTGTTACTGTATTCAGTTTGATGGAGGGTTTCCATGGTCCTAACCTAGGCCATGAGCCCTGAGAAGCTAGGAATCAGGTCAGTCTCATGGACAGAGCAGAGGCTGGGCATTGGTGGCGCACACTTTTAATCCCAGCACTCGGGAGGCAGAGGCAGGCGGATCTCTGTGAGTTCGAGGCCAGCCTGGTCTGCAGAGCGAGTTCCAGGACAGCCTCCAAAACAATACAGAGAAACCCTGTCTTGAAAAACCAATAAATAAATAAATAGTGTTGGTCTGGCATGGTGGCACCCGCCTTTACTCTGCTCAGCACTCAGATGGCAGAGGCAGGCGGATCTCTCTGAATACATGCCCAGCCGGGTTTACATGGAAGTTCCAGGCTAGCCAAAGTTACATAGTGTGAGAGACCTGGTCTCAAAACACAAAACAAAACCTAGGCTGAAGTCAAGGAATTGACCTGTGAGGCCTTACTATTAGGAATGCTGAAAATTAGTGAATATAGGGTTGGCCCAGACTGCTGAGATGCAGAGGAAACAAGAGGGAATGTGAAAGTTCCCTGAAAGCCACGTCGTGGCAATTCCGGGGCTCATGTCTGGAGTTCAGCACTCCGGAGGCTAAGGCAGGAAGATCGGGAGTTCATGTCATCCTCCCCGCTGCATGAGTTCAATTGAAGTCAGACTTGGTTGCATGAGACACTGTCTTACTCCACCCCACTAAAAAGAAAAAAATCCGAAGTGGAATAGAGTTCTCTGGATTGCCAGAGCATCCGGAATGCAAATGGGAGTGTTGGAGGCGAATGGCTCTGAAACCTGGGTGCTCTGGAATGCCCCTGAATCCCAAACTCTGGAATCGTTTTACATGCCCGGATAGTCGGAACACTATATCCTGGGGGGGGGTATATGAATGCTAGAGAGTGTAGCGGGTATGTGGGCGCTCGGGTGTCGGACCATCTAAAATGTGAGGGTGCAGAGCAGAGCATATTGTCAAATTCAAGTGTTTTTTCCAGTACTAGGATTGAATCAGTGTGTGGAGGAGAGAACAATGTGGAGAATCTTCTAGAAGGCTGTGGTTCAGAGCTCTAGAGGTGCTGAGACCCTACTAGGATCTGGAAAAATAACGTACATGTGATCTGAAAATAAGAACTGGGAACTGGAGACTCCAAATTCAGGGGGAGTGGGGGAGGGAAGCCAGTCTCAAATTCAGGGGGGGGGGGGGAGGGAAGCCAGTCTCATCCCTGCCATCCCCGGAAATTGCAGTGGTGAGCCAGAGGCTGTTGCCTAGCAACGAGCATTGACGATGCCCTGGATCCTGGGCAGAAGGGAGAAATTTCGGCAGCGCCCCCAGCAAATGCTCCAGCCACAGGGTAGGATATGGGGAGGGGTGAGACAGGTGAGGGACATGGTGTCCCACAGGGCCACGTGAACAGGGACTTGGGGGGGTGGCCCAGGAAGACAGAAGCATGGAGCACAGCCAATGGACAAAGCTAGCACTCCATTATTGCACCGGGTCAGCTGCAGACAGCCGTGAACGAGTCCTGGCGGCCACCACGACTGCTCCTTGGGCCTCTGTGGCCCTGGGCAGCGGTGGTGGGCCCTGATCTCCAGGTGTTAGTGTGGGATGGAGGCAGGTATTGCTGTAGGTGGTAGCAGTTGCGGTGTGAGTCAGCCCGTGTGGCTCAGTGCAGGGAGGGGCGAGGAGTGCGTCCTGTATACCTCCCATTGGAAAGAAGGAGAGTGACAGCCTGAATCTGGGACATTCCCTGTTCTCAGTCTGAGGAGGGAGGTGCAGTAGAGCCTGAGGCCTGATGACTTTCTCTGGCTGGAACCCCCATATGCCTGGGGGCTAGGCTAACGCTTTATCTTAGCCAACGTGCTGGCTGGTGGATGGTGGGCATACACCTGCCATTTTCAAACACAGGAGGTCAAGTAGGAGGAGCAGACAGCCAATGTCAGTTCCAAACAAAATCAAGGAACGAAACAGTCCAGCTGTTGAGAGATGAGGCTTCAGACCCACAGGAAAGTGGGGTCTGGATCCCAGTTCTCTCTGTCTGAAGCTCAATCAGAAGAGGGACCTCGGGAGGGGTGGAGATGGGGGGGCGGGTCTGGAGCTCTAGCGGGTTGTGAAGCTGAGTAAACACGGCGGGAACTTGAGGTTGGTTTATTTGAAATGGGTTCTTGCTTGTTTGGTTTTCTGAGACAGGGTTTCTCTGTGTAGCCCTGGCTGTCCTGGAACTCGCTTTGTAGACCAGGCTGGCCTTGAACTCACAGAGATCCACCTGAGTCTGCCTCCCCAGTGCTGGGATTAACGGCGTGTACCACTGCCAGTGCCCAGGCTTGAGACAGGTTCTTGCCATGTAGCCCATGATGACTTTGGATTTGTTACTAGACCAGGCTGGCCTGGAGTTTCTCGGGCTCCCCTTCCCAAGAGCTGGCACATTCCAGAGCTTACACTGCCATGCCAGACTGGAACTCAAGTTCATAGGGAAGGGAGGGAGTCCCGCTTGAGAAGCACTGAGTTTGGAGTTTGTGATGAGGACCTGGGGCCTGGACCTCACCAAAGTGTGTGGCTGGGCTTATGATCTCCTGCAGCTTAGGCTCCTCCTCGGCCCCATCCCAAAGGAGGGGATTGGAGGTCTTCAAGAACAAAGGCTATTGGCGGTTGGGGAAGACTTTAAGGAGGGAGGCAGGGAAGGGGTTCTGGTGTTTTCTAGGGGTAGAGCTGGGAGTCCTCAGGGAGCTGTCTGGTCAAGGGCGTAGCCTGGATTCACAGAAGGGCAGAACTTGGGAGGGACAAGCTTTTGCAGATGGTGAGGCTGAAAGAACGGGCAGAGCCTTGGGATCGTCTTTCTGGAAGGCTTGATGGAGACAGATGACACCTGCGGCGTGTGTGAGATTAGTACTCCAACGCTGCATTCTTGTCTCTTCGAGATTTGAGGCGTTCGAGGAGTTAGGAAGGGCTCACTATGTAGCCCAGGCTAGCCTGGAACTCAGGATCTCCCTGCCTCACCCTAGGGAGTGCCACCAGCAGAATCTGGTCTCTTGCCTGGTAGGTGGGTACAGGAGGAACTATCAGTTCCATTAGCCAGACAGCTACATTCTAACAGAACACCCCTAGCGCGGAGCGAGGGGTGAGGCCTGCTAGCCTAAGTCCAGTTTAGAGGACCTGGACCGCCCTGAGCATCCACTCGGTGGCAACCACTTTTGTCACTTGGGGCCTCGGCTCAAGGGAGATGCTCGGCAGCTAGTACCCGATTCCTGAAATCCTCCCACCTCCAAGAGAGTCCCCGCCGGCGCCAGCCCGCCCGGCACCTGTCCATCTAGCTCCTCCCCTGTCGCGAACCGATTGGCCTCTCTCAGAGCGCTGGCAGAGCAGGGATCTGATTGGCGGGAAGTTTCACAGCCCTAGGCTTGCACCGTGGAGAAAGTGAGTCGGCCTCCGGCTGGGGCGGGGGTGGGGGCGGGGCTGGGGCCAGGCCGATCCGGACCCACTGGACACACTGCCTCCCGGAGCCGGACTCTGCACCCGACAGGATGCGCCTGTCTGGCCTCGGTGGCCACCGCCCCCTCCTCCTGCTGCTGCTGCTGCTCTCAGCCGCCACCTCTGCTAGCAGCCCCAGCCCCACCCCCAGCTCTAGCCAGGCCGTCGAGGACGCGGTGGTCCCGGGCCACCAGGCCGGGTAAGCCCACCGCAGATCCTTCTTCCTCATGCATGCCGCACGCAGTAAGGCTGGTGGTCCCGGAGGAGCAAGACCTTGAGATGTAGGAGACTACAAAGCACATGCTTTTGGTGGGATGCTAAAGTCAAGGCGTGGGTCTATTAGGAGCGCCTATTATGGAGGCGTTAAAATTCGAGAGATGCCGAAAATTGGAAGGAATCCCCAGGGTGGTGGGATGGGTGAGGCTCCGGCCAATTCCCGAGTTTATTGGGGGGGGAGACCCCACTTGTTACCACTGTAAGGCTTCCAGTTGTCTTAGAATGAGATGGGTGGGGCCCTTGAACTAGCCTGGAGCTCCCCAAGTTTCTTGAATGCTCAAGAAAATGAGGTGCTGGAAGGCTGTGGTGAGATCTAAAAGAAAAAAAATGACTTCTGGGTTTCTAGGGGCGCTGGATTAGCTGGAAAGGACTTCTGGATTCTTCTGATGGATTAGGAAGACGCGAATGGGCCTCGGGCAGGGGGACTGGCGGAGCCTGTGGGGGGATCCTCGGGTTTTCTGAGGCTCTAGTTTGCTGAGATCAGAGCTCCTCGGGATTGAATGGATTACGAATGATTCGGTGGCGAGAGCCAGGACAGTTTACTAACTTGAGGGTTAAAGGTACCCATCTCATCCGCGGGTGGCAGGGTCGGAGGAGACGGTCTGCCTAGAACCCCGGCCCTGCGCCTGGCAGCCCTGCGCTCGCTCCGTTACAAAGGCCGCGGGCTCCGCTCCCGCCTCGGTCTCTGGGAATGCGTTTAGTAACCCGAGCCGCGCCGGGGGCGGGGCTGGGAAGGGGTTAACCTGGGAAAGAAAGCGGGAGGGCTGGCGACAGGATTGAGGGGGTCTCGGGGGCTCCCCCGCGGCAGCCTGCTAACCCACTGAGCCTCACTCCCGGGGAACGGGTCCAGGCATGGGATGCCCTTTGTCAGCATCTCCCGGGGTTGCTCTCTCTGGGCCTGAACGTGCACCTTCGTTCCTCGCCCCCCTTTAACGTGGGGATAATGGACTTGTCGGGGGGGGCTGGGTTGCGACGTTGTGGCCCTGTAGCTGAGACCCCGTGGCGCGGAGACATGTCCAGGAAAGACCCTGTCCTCTCTCACCCTGAAGCCCAAGGGCCAGGAGACGCCGGTCCCAGGGCGTCTGGGAAGGCAGGAACCGGAGAGAAGTCAGGCCTCAGGATCCCCAGCCCTGGCCTTCGGTGTCCCCTTCCACCTCAGCGCTGAGCTGGACCCGCAGGCTAAGGCGACACCGCGGTGCACAGCCGCCGAGGCCTGTGCATGTGGCGCCACCTACCGGCAGGGCTCAGGATGGCGGCTGAGTCGCGACTCGCGACGAATGGGTGGGCGGAGTTCTAGATCCCAGACAGTCCAGGCTTGGAGATGCCCTTAGAGATCTCCTTTGCGTGTTTCTTAAAACCATCTTAAGCCTGGCGTGGTGGCTTACGCGTGTAACCGTAGCTTTAGAGGGGATGAAGCCAGAGGACTGTCGCGAGTTTGAGTTCTGCCTGGGCTACACAGTAACGTTCTTAGACCAACCAGAGGTACAGCCCATGACCTCTCTCAAAATAATGATAATGAGTTCGAGGCCAACCAGAGCTACATAATGAGAATCTGTCTCGAATAACGATGACTGATGGTGATGATGGATTTCATAAGACACAGAGATGTAAATTTTGTGGCCTTTACTGAAAGTCTAGGCCACTTTGTGCGGAGAAGTGCCTCGAGTTAGGTTACTTATCTGCTTGAAGTTCCCTCTGTTACTGCGTGGTTTCTTCTCTGTGATCCACCCTGCCCCCCTTGGGGAGTTTTGGGGTGCTCGCTGCCTGACCAGCTCCACGCTCCTGTTTACAGTGCTGCTGCCTGTCGCTGCTGCCTAGGCCAGACACCTAGGAAGAGCCATTGCACCAGAGGTAGGTTCTTCCCCGGGGGATACGGGTAGGTAGGGGAGGATGAGAGGCCTCCTTCTGCGGCCTCATCCAAAATGAAGAGATGGATACAGTCGATGGAGGCTTGGCCTTCCTGATGCTCCTCTGATTGTCCCCGATTGTCCCTGAAGCTTCTTGCAGGGTTCGAAACTGCCCACCTGACAGGTGCACAGGTCTCCAGGGGTGCCTGACCCCAACACCTCCAGTGCCCAGTCCCAGCCCCGCGGAGAAGAGGCAGGTGTCCCTCAACTGGCAGCCACTAACGTAAGCCGATCTTCCCTCTGGGACATCTAGCCCCGTCCACCCCCCCGGCACACACAACACACACTGGTCTTTTGCTGGCAGTCCTTGTGTTCTATTTATTCTTCTCCTTGCCTGGCTTAATTATTAGGTCATGGCTTCGTGGTCTGTCTCTGTGTCCCCCATTTCTTCTTTCCGCCCATCCCATCGCTGTCCCTATGTCCCTTCCATTTAGTTCTAAGTCTCGCTTCTCCTCTCTCCCCTTCTTTCCCCTTCTCTCTGGAAGCATTTCTCCAAAGAACATCCAAACCTTGCTCCCCATAAAAGGGCTGGGGGGGGCAGTGTTGGGCAGAGCCATTGATTTCTAGAAGTGCTTCTGGCTTAGAAGGCCCTTTCCGTGGGGTGAGGGGACCGATTGAACAGTGGTGACAGCCTCTTCCGTCCCCTTCCACCCAGTCTGCAGGAGGCTCGAGCTCTGCTGAGGCAAAGGCGGCCCCGAGGGCCGTGGGCCCGGGCACTGCTGAGAAGGAGGCCCCCACATCGCGCCCCTGCCGGCCAGGCCCGGGGTAAGAACATCCGCCCTTCCTCCGCGGAGGGGGCGGAGGGGGGTAGTTCCGGGCCAGATAAAGCCGTCTGGTTCCCACGGTGCTGCCGCCGCCAGCCAGCCCCCCTTCGTAGCTCAGTCCACCCCACTCCCCAGGACGCGGCCACCTCTAGGGACCCCCGCGTCCGACAGTGCGAGGTGAGCCAGGGACAGGACTAGACGCAGGCCAAAAGCGCTGACCCATCCGGGTGGGGCCGGGAAGCCAGGCGTCCGGGCTCCTGCAGCTGAAGAGGGGGGCAACTCACCCAGCAGAGAGCGAGCTGAACCAGCCCAGACAACAAAAGCGATTGTGCGGGTTGGCGCCTGCCCGGGCACAGAATGCCCAAGATTGCGGGACGGCTGGGGCCAAAGGCCTTTCCCTCTTACATGCCAGACCCTCCCTTGGCCCCGTTCTAGCTCTCTACCCCAGACTAGAACACTCTATAGACTCAGCCTCGCTCAGAAGCCCCCTCCTGCTGTGTGGCCTTCAGTCCAGATGCGTCCCCTCCTTCCTAAAGTTTTCCAGATGTCAGCCCCAGACCAGATGTGAGGACCCCCACCCACAGTCTGAACCCACCCCTTGCCTTTATTCATCCCGACCTCTTCACCAGGTGTAGTAGTCTTGGCCTGATGCTTCAGGTGTAACCCTGGAGCCTCCTCTCTAGAATCCAGCTCTTCTAATTCCTTCATGTGTCCTGTGCACCGACCCTTCTCTTCACCCACAGACGTGCCATCTCGCTGCCCACACGGGCCGTCCTTGTCCTCTATCTAGATGAAGCCCATTTTGCCTGTGCCTAGTCAGAGGACCAGACTTTAGCTGGCTCCCCAAATGCGGCCCCCATTGCTCTGATGGATTTCCTCTGCATGGATTCAACTCTGGATGAGGGCAAACGGGCAAACCCGCCCGCCCCCACCTGTTCTCTTCCCTGCTGCTCCCCTGCGGGCCCCATCCACTTGTTGGAGCGCGGGTGGGAGCAGAGGGGGCGCCCTCCCCTTCCCCCTCCGAGTCTAGCGCCCAGCCTTCGCGCCTCTGGCTAAGCGCCCAGCCCCACGCGCCCCCGCGCGGCCGCCCGGGAGGGAGCGGGGGGGGGTGCTGAGCGGGGGCGCGGCCGCCCTCCCCCGCGGGCGGGCGGGCGGGCGAGCGGGCGGGCGCGGCCGGGCCCCTCGGGCGGGCTGGGGCGGCGGCGCGGTGGAGCGCGGCGCTGCAGCCATGGCGGGCGGCGCGCGGCTGCTCTGGGTGTCGCTATTGGTGCTGCTGGCGCATCTGGGGCCGCAGCCCGGCCTGGGCCGACCCCGAGAGCGTCTCCGCGTGCGCTTCACCCCCGCCGTGTGCGGCCTGCGTTGCATCCATGGGCCCACCGGCTCCCGCTGTACCCCGACCTGCGCGCCCCGCAACGCCACCAGCGTGGACAGCGGCGCGCCCGGCGGGGCGGCCCCGGGGGGACCCGGCTTCCGCGCCTGTGAGTGCGGGGTGGTGCTCCCGAGGGAGGAGTGCCCGGAGGGAGGACCCCCCCAGAGACAATGCCCTTGGGAGCAGGAGCCCAGACTCCATGTACAGACATGCTGGGTTGTTCGTGGGGTCTTTGAGGAAGGGGGCTCTGAATTCCTGGTTTGGGGAGTGGGTCCCTAGGGCGCTGATTTCAGGGGCAATGAGTGTTTTCGAGGACCTGTGGTGTCCCGCGTAAACGAACTGGGACTGGCTTTCATTCCTTTCAATCAAGGCAGGCATCTCAGAATTGAGGGACCTGGGAACTTTTGGGAAGGGGTCCAACTTCGGAGATTGCGCGTAGTGAGTTAGCAGGGATTGTTTCAGGGTCGCATGGGGGATGGCTCAAGTTTCTGTGTCTCTTTGGGAGGGGGAGAATAGTCCGGATTGGGATTGCATGTGATGAAGTGCTAACCGGGAGGGGGCTCAGAAAAGACAGTGTCTTTCGGCAAGACCTGAATTACTGCAGTTCCACGTGCGACAGATATCCAGATAGGAGGCCTGGGGAAAGGGCGCCCCCTGGGGGAGGAGGGGGACGAGCTTGCGCTTCAGCCACCTCTAGACCAGGGGAGCACTTTGGGGTTCAGGTGAGGTCGGGAGGGCGCGCCACCTGCTATCCCAGAGTGTGGGCGTGGAATGGTTTTCTGGGGGTCGGGTTTTACTTGCCTCCCACCCCTCACGGCCCTCTGGAACGGGGAGCGGGGCCCCTGGCGCCGAGAACTCGCCCAGGCTGGCCCCCAGCCAGCCCAACCCGGCCGGCGTGAGCTCATCTCCCGCCTGAGCCCCCGCCCGCTACCACTCCCTCTCTCCGCCCCTTCCTCCCTCCTTCCTTCACTCCCTCCCGGCCCAGCCCCAACGCGCCCGTGCCAGGCGCCGTGCCCAGGCGGGTGCCAAGCCCCTGGAGGCACAAGGAGGGACATGTGAAGGCGGGCTGACCTCGGCAAGACCCTGATGTCCTTAGCTCCCTGTTCTTCCAATGGTGTGGGACGTGGAGTTAGCTTTGCCCACCTGGCAGGAAACCCTTGGTATGGGCACCCTGAGGTGGGGGCGAGGCGCGCGCGGGGGACCGTCTGCATTCAATCCAAGAGCAGGCAGTGGGATGATTTAAGAGGCTAAGAAATGTCCCTAACCTTGGTGGCTTCTATCTACCAGAGACACTGCCATTTTTGCGATCTGGCTTCTCTGTTTGAGTCCTTCTTAAACTGTGTCACTTAAAGAACCTTATTAAGGCACTTGGAGTCCAGACTTAACGCTTCTACCGGGGCTCCGGGTTTCTGACCACCGGATCCTAAGGTCCTCTTCACCTGGCGTCAAACACTCCGGGGACTCAGAGAAGTTCCTTCTCCGTCTTTGGAGGTACTCCTCCAAGCTGCGCCCCTCCCTGGAGAACTTTAGTATTGTGACCCAACGGCTTCCCACTCTCCAGAAACCCTCAAGTACAAGCCTTAAGTGGAGATAACTCCCTCTCCAGCCCTCCCCCCAGATCTCTTCCACGTAGCCTTCGGTTTTCCTTTCTTTCTAACGCAGATTCTCAATTTTTCTAAAGTTCTGTTCCACCTGGGAACTTTGGCTTCCTACCTATCTTCAGAGAAACCCAGAATTGGTCTCAATCAATAGATCCTCCCAAGAACACTCCAGGAAATGTGCTGTTATCACAGCCACTAATCAAGACGCGGGGCAACCAGGCCCTTAGCTAGGAAGGAATGGGGCTTTCACAGAACCCTAAGCAACTTGAGACGCTTAATGTGCTGGAAACTTCCAGACTCCACTTCTCCTTGTTCTCAGCACCCTCACATGGGCCACACCCCCGCTTTCAAAAAAAAATACTAGAGTCCTGTTTTCTAGGCAGCTCTCCGAAAGAACTTGAAAGACTCTTAGCTGAGAGGTTAGATTGGCTCTGGGCTAGCCTTTCCCTGCCTTCTAGAAATCTTGGGTCGTCTTTGAACCCCAGAGTACCTGCCTCTGGCCCATACCTTCCAAGGACTCGTCAAACTGAGGTTTCCCCCTCCGACCCCCGTGATTTCTTTTGCACAGTTGCGACTCAGAAAATCCCACACACACCTCCCCGGACAGCCCGGGCTGTCTGCTCCCTCCTTCCCCTGAGCGCAGCTGTCTCCAGCTGTTTTCGGCAGCCCCAGGGGATGAAGGAGGGGGTGCCCTCGAAAGACACGTCCGGCCTCCTTTGGCTCTGCAGCCCCGGGCTCCCCAAGGGTCCGGAATGCGGAGACGACGCCCTGCCCCCGCCGCACCCCTTTCTTTGTTTACACCGCCGCACAGCTGGCAGTGCCCCGCCCAGAGGTGGCCTGGGGCCCGGAGAGGGCGCGCACAGGGGAGTAGAAGCGCGTCCCCGCTAGCTGCCCCGCCCGGTGCTACCGAAGGCGGGGAGGGAAGGCTAAAACTCTTGCTAGCGGTCTGAGGGAGGAGGCGGGACTACGTCTCCTAGCTCTCCTAGGAGTAGGAGGGTCGGGAGTCAGAGCAAATCAGAGGGAGGAAAGCGGGTGGGCGGGACTAATGCTACCTAAGGAGTCCGGGTTAGGTGGAGCTTACGATCTCAGGTAGAAGGCCATGTGGGCGGGACTAGAAAGGAGTGCCTGGCCAAAGAGAAAAACTGGGACGTCTTGGATTCCAGCTCAGGAGGCAGAAAGAGGAAGTGTTGGGTTGGGCAGAGAGAGCTCTGGAGGGGCAGAGGCAACCCAGTGGGCGTGGATAGCACTGTCTGTCCCGAACCCCGCCAGAAAGGGGGGGAGGCGGGGGCGGCGCGGAGTGAGCCCACTTAGTAGGCTTTGAACTTCGCAACTTGACCCAACCGATATAGTCATATAGTCGGCCAGATTTGGACAGTGGCCACAAGACAACTAAAATAAAAACCTGGGGTAGTTAGTGGTGGACAGAATCAGAGGCAGGAGGATCAGGAGTTTAAGCATGGGCTATATAGTGTGTTTTTGAGGCTAGCCTGGGCTACATTGGCCCTTATCTCAAAACACAAAAGCAAATGAAAGAAAAAGATACCTAAGGTGGAGGGATGGACGATGAATGTACCTTGAGGGCCTTGCGTTATAGCGCTGGGGACTGAGTTATCCTGGGTTCATGTGACACAGGGCTGTCTGCCAGGCATAGTACTGATTTTTTTGTGTCCTTGCTTCTCAGACCTATGTCCCTTGATCTGTCACAACGGTGGTGTGTGTGTGAAGCCTGACCGCTGCCTCTGCCCCCCGGATTTCGCTGGCAAGTTCTGCCAGTTACATTCCTCCGGGGCTCGGCCCCCAGCCCCAGCCATGCCGGGCCTTACCCGCTCCGTGTACACCATGCCACTAGCCAACCATCGCGACGACGAACATGGTGAGAATTTAGCCAAAGGGCTTCTGGTCCCCTTTCACTTCAGCAACCGGACCAAGTTTGTTGCCTTCTCTGCTATCCTCCCAAGTCCGGTTTGGTAGCTTCCAGCTTAATCCCACCACTCGGGATGCAGAGGCAGGAGGATGACTGATTACATTACCACCCCCACGCAAAGAAACTCACCCAGATACCAAGTTTATACTCTTGACAGCCTCAGCTCACCCCTCCAGTCTGGTCCCAGCAAGGCAGAGCTGGTGTGTGCATATCCTTTTGTCCGTCTTGCCTCTGCTCAGGTGTAGCATCGATGGTGAGCGTGCACGTGGAGCACCCCCAGGAGGCATCCGTGGTGGTGCACCAGGTGGAGCGTGTGTCGGGCCCCTGGGAAGAGGCCAACCCTGAAGCCCTCGCCAGGGCTGAAGCGGCAGCCCGGGCCGAGGCGGCGGCGCCCTACACGGTGCTGGCCCAGAGCGCGCCTCGCGAGGACGGCTACTCGGACGCCTCGGGCTTCGGTTACTGTTTCAGGGAACTGCGTGGAAGCGAAGTGAGACCAGGCCCGCGGGCTGGGGGAACCCCTAAAGCATACCACCGCGCGGGGGCGCGCTCGCTCACGCCCCGCTTCTCCCACAGTGTGCGTCGCCGCTGCCCGGGCTGCGGACTCAGGAAGTATGCTGCCGAGGGGAGGGCTTGGCCTGGGGTGTCCATGATTGTCAGCCGTGCTCGGAACACCTGGGTAAGCCCCAGGTCGCCCCCAAACCTCGCCTCTTCTCCTCCGGGCAGAGATAAACCTCGGTCACAAATTCTAGCTACACCTACCTTGTTGGGGGGGGGGATCGTTTCTATTTTAGATATTTTTTCCCTTAGCGTTGAGTCCGTTTACTCTATTTTCGGATTTGGGTCACACTTTTCAATCGGCGTTTGTGCCTCGGTGCCATCCATGCATTTCTAGAGCCTCAGGCGTTACCTACTAAGCTGCCAAAGGGAAGCTGATTTGGTACTCAGACCACACCTCATTCCTTTTAGCCCTTCCCACTTAACCTTCAGAACTGCTCGGCCGTCTCTCTGCCAACCTGTCCCTGCCCCGACCCCTCCTTTCTCCACAGGGCACGCCAACCGAGTGAATGGCCCAAATGGACCTTGTCCAACCGGCTTCGAGAGGGTTAATGGGACCTGCGTAGGTAAGCCACGGCGGGGGGCGGGGCTGCCAGGGAGGTGGTCCCCGACTGGCCAAAAACGTCCTTCATCCTTGCAGATGTGGACGAGTGCGCCACAGGTGGGCGTTGCCAACACGGGGAGTGTGCCAACACTCGTGGCGGGTACACGTGCGTGTGTCCGGACGGCTTCCTGCTGGACTCCTCGCGCAGCAGCTGCATCTGTGAGCCGCCGGGAGGGGCGTTCTGCAGCTGGCGCCCAAACCGCTGCCGACCCTAGACAGTACCCCAGAATGCTCATGGGCCCCTAGGCCCCTCAGATACACAAGCCCTTCAAGGCCCCCTCAGACTTATCCTGGATCTGCAGAGAGGCCTCCGTGATGATTTCAGCAGCACCCCTCCCCTTTTACATCCAAGCCTCTCAGAATCTTGAGTTCCCTTTAGGGCCTCCAAATTCTCTCAACCCCTTGACCGACCTCCAGACAGTCTCAGGATTCTCATATCTGGCTTCTCATTTATGCCCTACTCCAAGCCCTGGGCACCCTCAGCTGTATTTCAGACCCCCCTCTCCCAGACTTCCTAAATGCCCTTTGCACCCACCCACTAAATCTTCCCTGGGGCCATCCCCCTCCCCCCTCCCAGGAACATTGAACTCCTCACCCGCCCTGAAGAATTTCTTCCCATCCCCCGCAGCCCAGCACGTGATCTCGGAGGCAAAGGGGCCCTGCTACCGAGTGCTCCGTGATGGCGGATGCTCGCTGCCCATTCTTCGAAATATCACCAAACAGATCTGCTGCTGTAGTCGTGTGGGCAAGGCTTGGGGGCGTGGCTGCCAGCTCTGCCCACCTTATGGTTCAGGTGAGCTAGTCCTCCTGACCCATCCCTTCCTAACAGATACACAGACTCTGTATCGACCCTGCCTTACGTGTGTGTGAAGAGTCCAGCAGGAAGCCGTCCGGACACACACACACACACACACACACACACACACACACACACACACACACGCTTCAAACCTGGCGGTGCCTTGGTCACACTCGCAACCTCTGGCCACTTCCGCATCCTAGACTCAGCCCTAGGCTGAGTGGTTCGCCACACCTACTCCTGGGCCATATAACCTTCAAATTAGACTGACCAGAACTCTGCCGCCATCCCGAATGAGGAAAACTCATGGCTCTACCATTGGCTTCGGGAACATCTTATTCTATGACCAGTACACTACTCCACCCAGCACATAAACCAGACTCCTGATGCTATCTCAGGTCAAGCTTTATTCCTAGCCCAGGTCTGCTCATAAGAGCTCATTCTGTCTCCTCTCCTAACCCCCCCCCTCCCGTCTTGTTCCCAGAGGGTTTTCGGGAGATCTGCCCAGCTGGCCCTGGTTACCACTATTCAGCCTCCGACCTCCGCTACAACACCAGACCTCTGAGCCCGGATCCACCACGAGTGCCCTTCACTCAACCACGAGTTTCCCCAGCCACCGCGAGGCCACCCACAGGTGAGCTGGACCTTGCATGGAGGGGACATCATTTTCCGGGTCCGCCTGAGGTCCATAGAGGGGCAGCACCTGAATTTAGACTCCCAGACCAATGTTCTTTCTTTATCAGGCTTTCTGCCCACTCGGCCTCGGCCTGAACCCCGGCCAGGGCCTGAACCCCGGCCAGGGCCTGAACCCCAGCCTGGTCCTGAATTTCCGCTGCCCAGCATCCCTGCTTGGACTGGCCCCGAGAGTCCTGAATCAGGTGCGGTGGGAATCTGAGGGTGAAGTTCTGTGGGGCTTCGGAGTGAAGGTGTTGGGGAAAAGAGGAAGGATGGAGAGAGGGGAGAATCTGAAGGTTTGGGTAGTGGCTCCCTCAGGTACTAGAGTCACGGGCTCCAGTCCTCTGCTAAAGGAGCAGTCTTGAGACACCATTTCTTACCCCGTAAAACGGGCGTTGTGAGGGGTTTCAAGAAGATAGCTCTCCAGTATAGGATGTGTGAGTGTCGTTGTGGGCAGATTCAGGCAGATGTGATGAGACCCTCATAAGGGTAAATGACAACATGCTTCTCTAAGATCACACTTGGGGTGGGGACACTCATCAAGTCACCTTAAAGGAACAAAGGGTTCTGGGATGGAAAAGACCGTTGGTTCAGAGTTATGGGAACCTGCATGGCTGCTTCCCCAGGTCCCTCCTCCTCCAACGTGTGCCAGCGCAACCCCCAGGTTTGCGGTCCCGGACGTTGCGTCCCCCGGCCCAGTGGCTACACCTGTGCGTGCGACCCAGGTTTCCGGCTCAACCCCCAAGGCACTCGCTGCGTAGGTGAGCTGGGCGGAGGGGCCAGGGGGGCCGGCGCCGGGGTGGAGTTCTTTGCCTGGCCACCGCTGTAACTAGCCTCCTTCGTGCTCTCAGACGTAGACGAATGCGGTCGCGTACCCATGCCCTGTGCTCCTGGGCGCTGCGAGAACACCCCAGGCAGCTTTCGCTGCGTGTGCGGCACGGGCTTCCGAGCAGGCCCGCGGGCTACAGAGTGCCTGGGTGAGAATCCCGCCCCGCCGGGCCCCAGGCTCCACCCCTGCTTGGGTCTTGGCTCGGTTCTCACTGCAGAGCCGCTCACGCCTGCTCCTTCGCCTTCGCCTCCCCACTCCGGTCCAGCTCTATTACAGCACCCTGTCCTGCCCTGGCCACCGCACCAAGATCAGCTCGGCTCCACCCCTGCTCTGCACCTAACCTGGCCCTTCCTCTGCCTGTGGCCCAGCTTTTGTCCAAATCCTGTCCAGGCTCTGCTCTCACAAGCTCCGCCCTCCCTATCCTCGAGTAGCTCCCGCCCCCAGGCCCCGTCTGAGTTCTACAATTTCTGCAGTCCCAGCTCTCCCTTCAAACTGCCCGTTCGTTCTCTGGTCTGTCCCTGCCTTCCTTTGGGCCACAAAGATTCCTTTCCTGCCCTTGTCCTTTCCCAAGTCCTGTCCTCCCTAAATTTGTCCCCTCCCAGGATCTGGCTCTCTGCGGCGGTCCTAGCCAGCCCTTGTACTAACCTCCGGGATGGATCTCCGCCTTCGCTTTAATTAAGCCGACCCACTCGAGCCCCGCCCACCTCCTTAGCTCCGCCCCAGACTAGCTTTGGTCCTAATTTCGCCCCGCCCTGGTCCTGCCCTCTGCTGCTCTCACTCCCCCCTACCCCCCCCCGGGCCTCACATCATCTCTCAGGGCTCAGGGACTGTGTGTGTCTGCCGGGTCCCAGCCCCTGGGTTCTGCCCACAGATGTGGACGAGTGCCAGCGCGTGCCGCCGCCGTGTGACCGCGGGCGCTGCGAGAACAAGCCAGGCAGTTTCCTGTGCGTGTGTCCCGCCGGATACCAGGCAGCGCCGCACGGAGCCAGCTGCCAGGGTGAGGGTCTGGGAGGGGACGGAAAGACAGAGGGTGTGAGGTGAGGGGTGAACAGGCAGCGATGAGGTTGGAGAAACTGAGTCACGGAGCAATGGGTGGCTTACTGATGGGGGACGCAGACCAGACTGCCTGGATCGGAGGGAAAGGCCAAGTGACCGTGGAGGATGGAGAAGGGACGGAGATGTGAGTGACTGGGACAGATGGCTGGGTTGCGGAAGACCAGCGTAGCTCAGCTCATGGGGACCAGTGAGACCGAGTTCCAGGAGCCAACCACACAACTCGTGGTGGAGGATGGAGAGTCAGAGTGCTGGAAGACTGGAGGGAGGAATTAGGCAGGGCGGGAAGACAAGACAAGGGGGCTCAGGGTGTTGCATGGTGGGGAGCAGTGAATCACACCAGAGACCCCCCCCCCGGGGGCTGGTTGCTTGCAGATGTGGATGAATGCACCCAGAGCCCAGGCCTCTGCGGCCGCGGGGTCTGCGAAAACCTGCCTGGCTCTTTCCGCTGTGCTTGCCCGGTTGGCTTCCGTGGCTCGACGTGTGAGGAAGATGTGGACGAGTGTGCCCAGCAGCCTCCGCCCTGTGGGCCAGGCCGCTGCGACAACACTGCGGGCTCTTTCCACTGTGCCTGCCCAGCTGGCTTCCGGTCCCGAGGACCAGGGGCCCCCTGCCAAGGTGAGGGTGCTGAGCCGGAGCCTGCAGCACCATGGCATGGCTGTGGGGGATGGAGAGAGACATTACTTGGGAGTAGAGAGGCCTTAGGATGCTCTGTGACAGAGTCAGGTGAGCAGAATATTGAGAAAGCCAGATCTGACCAAACTCTATCTTCTTTCCTTTCTTCCTGAGAGAGCTCCTTCATATTCCCCAATGCGTAATAGCCTTGAACTCATGACCCTCCCTGCCTCTGCCTCCTGAGTGCTGATGTTAAGGGTGTCCACCAATAATTAATGCCTGATACCCCGTTTAATTTTTTAAATTCATTATACAGTGTTCTGCCTGCATGTATCCCTGCAGGCCAGAAGGGGGCACTAGATCTTGTTACAAATGGTTGCGAGCCACCATGTGGTTGCTGGGAATTGAACTAAGAACCTCTGGAAGAGCATCCAGTGCTCTTAACCACTGAGCCATCTCTCAGCCCCCATTTTAAAACATTCAAAACCACATTTATTTACTTGTTTATTCAGTGCAGGGGGAGGGCGTGAGAGGGTGGGTGGGGCTGTGCCACTGAGGGAGGTCAGAGGACAGCTTACTGGAGTCAATTCTGTCCCTGTGGGTCCCAGGGATCAAACTCAGCCTTTTGTGCTGGACCATCTGGCCTCCCTGCTTTGTTTGGGGAACCTTAAGGTAGAGACAGGTGCGTCTCAGACACGGATAGGGCAGTGCCTTGGTCTTCCTGGTGGCTCGACATGGAAGACCACCTCGGAAGACCCGGATGGCTGGGTCAAGAGTAGAATTCTGGCTGACATGGTGCTTCTTATCTGTAGCCCCAGCCCCCAGGAGGCTGAGGCAGGAGGATTGGTGTGTTTAAGCTGGAGTGCTGGGGTAGGTAGGGATGGCAGTGTGGAGGGGCCCAGACCTCTTCCTCAGCTTGACTGACATCTTCTGCCCAGACGTGGACGAGTGTGCCCGGAGCCCCTCGCCCTGTGCCTACGGCCGCTGTGAGAACACGGAAGGAAGCTTCCAGTGTGTCTGCCCTACAGGCTTCCAAGCCAACACTGCCGGCTCCGAGTGCGAGGGTGAGGCCGGGGAGGGAGGGAGGGGTGTGGGAGGGTAAGGAGGCCTGGGGCCACTTCCTCAAGATGGCTCTGTCTCTCCCCGCTTCTCAGATGTGGACGAGTGTGAGGACCACCTGGCCTGCCCTGGGCAGGAGTGTGTCAACTCACCGGGCTCCTTCCAGTGCCGGGCTTGCCCAGCTGGCCACCACCTGCACCGAGGCAGATGCACTGGTGAGATCAGACCCAGCTGGGGCCTGGGACCTGTATCTTAACCCTGAACACCCGGATTTTTGACCCTTGACTGGTCTGTGACCCTGACTTGACCTGTAAGCTGGAACCTGGATCTCAGTCCCTTTACAGGAACCATGACAACTTGACCACACTCTTGGCCCTGGGTGACTCTTGACTGTAACCTAGGAACATGTGACTCTGCTGGGTCATTTTGGGGACTAACCATGACCCTTGATGACAACCCCTGACTTTGACTCTTAGCAATAATACATTTCTGGACCCTCACTGTCTCCTGGCCCATGACCCTAAGTTTGACTCTGTCATCTCATCCTAGTGGAAAAGCCTACAGTCCTGATACTTCTACTCTGTCTAACCCTTCCCCCACACCCCTTCTCAGAACCTCTTCCCTGGAGCTTATTTGGGTGCCTGACCCTTGACCCTGACAGCAGGCAGGATTCTGGACTCTGGCTGTACCCTCTGACTCCAGCTTACCGTGACACATTTATTCAGCAATAATCCTAGTATCATAATACCCCAATTCATCCCTTACCTTAGTTAATTTCTGATCCCCTCTGCCAATGTAGAGCCAGCCCCTTCCCCTGACCCCAGGACCCCAGTAGAGGGACTCTTAGAAACCCAGATCCAAGCCGGGCGTTGGTGGCGCACGCCTTTAATCCCAGCACTCGAGAGGCAGAGGCAGGCGGATCTCTGTAAGTTCGAGACCAGCCTAGACTACCAAGCGAGTTCCAGGACAGCCTCCAAAGCCACAGAGAAACCTTGTCTCGAAAAACCAAAAAAGAAAGAAAGAAAGAAAGAAAGAAAGAAAGAAAGAAAGAAAGAAAGAAACCCAGATCCATAGGACGTCTAGTCCCAGAGTGCTCATCGGTCCTCCATTCAAGACCCTTTGCTCTAGTGGACCCCTCTGAGCCCCCAAACCTCCCTCACAGATGTGGACGAATGCAGCTCGGGCACCCCTTGTGGTCTCCACGGCCAGTGCACCAACACCGAAGGCTCCTTCCACTGCAGCTGTGCTCCAGGTTACCGGGCGCCATCTGGTCGACCTGGGCCTTGTGCAGGTGAGATAGCCCACCAGAGTAAGGCCGGGGTTCTGGGGCAAAGCCCGTTAGAGATGTAAAGTGGATTAACACAGGGAGTTTTCAAAATAAGTTGGTCTTGAAAGTTTCGACTTGGGTGGTGGGGCTGCGTTTATGTTCAGGGCTTGCACTGGGGAGCCAACTGTCCAACCCTGACTCTTGTGTGCCCTAGACATAAATGAGTGTCTGGAAGGCGACTTCTGCTTCCCCCACGGAGAGTGCCTCAACACCGATGGCTCCTTTGCCTGTACTTGTGCCCCTGGCTACCGGCCTGGACCCCGCGGAGCTTCTTGTCTGGGTCAGTCCCCAGTCTGTATCCGAGCATGGAAAGGGAGGGCTTATAGCAGGGACAGGAGGGACAAGGGGAAGAAGGGTGGGAAGGGGGTCACGGGAGTGGAGCTTTGGAAGGGTGGGAAGGGGGTCACGGGGGTGGAGCTTTGGAGGCCTGGAGGTGGCATTCATGGAGAAGTGGGACATGTCAGGAAAAACTGGAGTAGTGATTAGAAGGACCTCCGACCGGAGGCAAGGCTTGCAAAAAAAAAAAAAAAAAAAAAGGTAGGGCCTAAAGCAAATGGGGTGAGGCCATCCTTTGATGGCTTTGGAACTTGGAGGGTCTGGATGGGGGCGTTGGGGGCGTGGCCTGGGATATTCGGCAGAGCAGGATGTGGCCCTGGGTTTCGGATGCTGTGTCCTGCAGACGTGGACGAGTGCAGCGAGGAGGACCTTTGCCAAAGTGGTATCTGCACCAACACTGACGGCTCCTTCGAGTGCATCTGTCCTCCTGGACACCGCGCTGGCCCAGACCTTGCCTCTTGCCTTGGTGAGAGGCCTCACTCCGCTGCCTCCCTGCTTCTCCTGACTTCCCGTATCGTCTCCCACCCCTCGCTCTCTTCCCATCACCTCTGCTTCTCCCCCCTGACTCCTGCTCCCTCGTTGTCTCCCCGGCTTCTGTCTTCAGACATTGACGAATGTCGTGAACGGGGCCCTGCCCTGTGTGGGTCTCAGCGCTGTGAAAACTCCCCCGGCTCCTACCGCTGTGTGCGCGACTGTGATCCTGGCTACCACCCTGGCCCTGAGGGCACCTGTGATGGTAAGACAGGTTCCCCCCAAGTCTGTGGCAGGTTGCTGCTGTCTGCGCCCCTGGAAACCAGAGGAGAGATACCCTGCCTCAAAAACCTAGGAGAGTGCCTCGGCTAATACTTCCTTTCTTTCCGCACTGCTTTCTGGTGGAAAATAGCCACTTCTGTGAGCATGTGGTTAATTATGGGCTAGGGGCTTTCTTATCAGGAATCAGAATGAACTAGAAGCTAGAAGTTCATTCTGACTTGCTCCAATATATGTATGTATGTATGTTTGTTTGTTTTGCTTTCGAGACAGGGTTTCTCTGTGTTGTTTTGGAGGCTGTCCTGGAACTCACAGAGATCCGCCCGCCTCTGCCTCCCAAGTGCTGGGATTAAAGGCGTGCACCACCAATGCCCAGCGCTCCAATACATTTTTGGGGGAAGGAGTACTGTGTGGATCAGTATTTTCTGTAACCCATGAAGCAAAACCTTTATGGACTGCGTTTCCTGGCCCAATGGCTAAACCTCTGACTCAGGCAAATTGAATTTCTTGAGATCTCAATCATTAATTCTGAAGATTTCAGTAAGTACCTGCTAGACACCAGACACTGGAACCACAGCAGGAAACGAGCCAAACAAAACCCCTGCCCTCGTGAGCTAACATGAGGAATAGTTAACTATGTAGATAAATTCAGGGATCATTCCACAGATAACTTTGAGGCCCTTTCTGTATGACAGACGCTGTTGATGCCTTGACAGGCAGGAATCCTTGTTGGTATGGGGTTGCATGGTCGCTGGCTGCACACCAGTGACTTTATTGGTTTAATGCCAAGGTTGTTTTGTGGAGAAAGTGTCTTGGTGTGTGGTCCGTGCGGAACTTCAACTTGGTTTTGTTTTTGTTTTTGCTTTTTGTTTTTTGTTTTGAGACAGCCTGCATTCAATTGTCCCTCCTCTTCCCCCATTGTGTGTGTGTGTGTGTGTGTGTGTGTGTCTGTGTGTGTGTGTAGCCCTGGCTGGCTTGGAATTCACTATTGTAGGATGCCTGGAACTAGCAACAATCCTCCTGCCTCAGCCTTCCTAGTTTTGCATTCTAGTCATGCACTAGTACACCTGGTCCTGACTCACGAAAGTGCTGCAATTACAAGCATGTGCCATCATGCTAGCTTAAAGGCGGGTTTAAGAAAGAGGCTATGGGGGCTGGAGAGATGGCTCAGCGGTTAAGAACACTGACCTCTCTTCCAGAGGACCCTGGTTCAATTCCCAGCACCCATGTGGCAGCTCTCAGCTGGCTGTAACTCCAGTTCTAGAAGATCTGACACCCTCACACAGACATATGTGCAGACAAAACACCAGCCACATGAAAAATAAATAAATAAGCAAACAAAAAAATAGAGAGAGGCCATGAGCTGGACATGGTGGCACACGCCTTTAATCCCATTACTTGGGAGGCAGAGGCAAGACAATCTTTGTGAGTTCCAAGCCAACCTGCTCTACAAAGAGAGTTCAAAGACAGCCAGGGCTACACCGAGAAATCCTGTCTGGAAAACCCAAACAAACAAAAATCCCAGAAGGAGGCTGTAAGATTGAGAATTTCCCTCAGTTGATAGGGCGCTTGCCTCTGATGCAAGACAGGCAGACACTGGATAAACTAAATGGACTGTTGTCCTGTGATCCCAGCTTTTGGCGGGGGGGGGGTAGGGGGGCTGGAGAATCAAATGTTCATGGTCATCCTTGGCTATGTAGCAAGTTTGAGGCCAGCCTAAGCTACATGAGACCCTAAATAAAAAAAAAAAAAAAAAAAGAAAGAAAAGAAAAGAAAAACAATTTAGCAATTTTTTTTTTTTTTGGTTTTTACGAGACAGGGTTTCTCTGTATTGTTTTGGAGGCTGTCGGTTCAGCCCAGCCTCGAACTCTCAGAGATCCACCTGCCTCTGGCTCCCGAGTGCTGGGATTACAGGCATTTGCCACCACCGCCCGGCCCGACACTAGCTTTAAAGGGAGAATCTGGGTGGTAGCATCCACTCCTACGATCCCGGTAACTGGAAGGTGGAGGCAGGAGTTTACGGTTTTCCTTGGTTACATAGGATTCAAGGGCAGCCTGGTCTACATGAGACCCTGTCTCTAAAACAAAACAAAGTTTAAAAGTGAAGGAAAATAAGCTAGGCATGGTGGTGTGTGGCTTTAGTCCCGAAACTCGGGAGGCAGAGGCAGGCGGATCCCTGTGAGTTCAAGGGCAGCCTGGTCTACAGAGTGAGTTCCAGGACAGTCAGGGCTATGTAGTGACACCCTGTCCCATTCCAAAAAAAGGAAACCAAAAAACCAAACACCAGGAAGGCAGTAGGAAGTAGAGGTCATGGATTTGAAAAGGAGTCAGAAGTGGGGAGGACGGGAGTTAACTGGAGCAGCGAGAAGAATTGGTGGAAATGATGTCAATACAGCACTCGTGTGAAATTCTCAACAAAACAAAAGGGGGGGGTAAGTAGGCAGGGCAGTGGTTGAAGGTACCGATCAGGGATTCTTGATTTGTCAGTGAAAGGAGGGTCAGGGGCCGTGTACACAGCTGTGGGACACACCTGGCGGCCAGAACCCCAAAGGCTCTGCGATGGGAGGAGTATTTTTTTGAGCTGTTTCAGAAAGGGCAGGAAGGACCTAAGAACTGGTAGCCTCATCCAATACCGCGCTCAGGGGCTTCTCGATCTTAGCGATTGGAGGTAGCGTTAGGACACCACCCCCGACCCCACGCCCCTTTTCAAGCCTCTTTACTCTCTCCTGCAGATATAGATGAGTGCCAAGAATACGGCGCTGCGATTTGTGGGGCACAGCGCTGTGAGAACACCCCTGGCTCCTACCGCTGCACCCCTGCCTGCGACCCCGGCTATCAGCCTACTCCAGGGGGGCGGGTGCCAAGGTGGGTGTCCACAGGGTACTAGGTGGGATGTGGAAGGGACTCGAGGTTTCACTGTGGCTCTATTGAAATGGCTTTCTGGTCCTTACAGATGTGGATGAGTGCCGGAACCGGTCCTTTTGTGGTGCCCATGCCGTGTGCCAGAACCTGCCTGGCTCCTTCCAGTGCGTCTGTGACCAAGGCTACGAGGGGGCACGGGATGGGCGTCATTGCGTGGGTAAGGGAGGGACTGCAGGGGTGGGTGGGACCAGAGGGGGGAGTAGGGTGGTCTGGCCCTGCCCATCTCCACTCTTCTGGAGAATTATGAGCCTCTAGATTTGCAGACTTATTTCCCGGAACTTAAGTTCCGAGACATACCAGTTGAAACCACCCTGCCACTGGGCGGTACTGGCGCACACCTTTAATCCCAGCACTTGAAGGCTGAAGTAGGGTCATCTCTGTGAGATCAAGGCCAGCCTGGTCTACAGTGCGAGTTCCAGCACAGCCAGGGATACACAGAGAGACCTATCTCCAAAAACAAAAAACCAAAACCAAAATCGATCCTGCAGTGCCAAGCATGGTGGTTCACTTCTTTAATGCCAGCATTTGGGAGACAGAAACAAGAGGACTGCTGTGAGTTCAAGGCCAGCCTGAGCTACATAGCAAGTTGCAGGCTAGTCTGGGTGATGGAATAGGACCTTGAATCCAAACAAAAAGAATCAAGTGACAGAAACCTTACTCAATTAGCTGCTGT